CATTTTCCACAGGAGCCCCTGAAAAGACAGGGTGGTGAGCAGAGCCATGCCTTCAGCAGAGGGAGCCCTGAACTTAGGGGTCTATGGAGCCCTGGGGGACACACGGGCTGGCCTCTGGAATCCGTGATCTGCCCAGGCTGTGTGCAAAATTCTGGGATATGTGCCACATGGGGAGGAGAGGGCTGGTGACTCTTAAATTTTCAAGAGGTTCCATGTCCCCAAACAAATGAATGACTACTAAGACCATCATTACCATGGAAACTACCATGGGCTGAGTGCTGACCCTATGCTAGGAAAATGGGGATAATAAGGACACTTACCTCAAAGGGCTGTTGGGAGGATGAACCAAGAGGGTATATGTAAAGCACTTAGAATGGCACCTGCCACAGAACCAACACTCTACAGGCTTTAGTTATATTGTAGCGTTGTAATCATTACTAACCATTATTATCATTTTCATTGCCTCATTAGTCCTCACAAAACCTTTATGAGCTACATATTATTATCAATCCCACATATAGGGCAGGAAATAGAGGCTTCAAAAGGTTAAATAATTAGCTCAAGGCACAGACTAGCAGAGAAGGGACTCCCACTTGGCCTGCCTGGCTCTCAAGCCCAGGCTGGCCCCCAATCTGGATGCACCGAGGGAAGGCGGCAGGAGGATTCCCTGAGAGCCCAGGAGGAAGCAGGTGGGCAGGAGGCCCCAGATGACCCCAGGCCTGAGGTCAGCCAGCCAGAGGGGAAAACAGGCCTGGGGCTTTCCACAGAAAGGGCCAGCAGGCCTTGCTAACGTTGCACCTCTCCCAATCAACAGCAGAAAGCCAAGCCACTCAGAATAATAGTGACTTAAAAAGAAAACCACCCCCTGCAGTGGCCATCCCTGCCCCAAAGTGAGCCCATGTCCCGGAGCTCCACGGGTTCCAGGAGCAAGGCAGGCCGCCCCAGCACCGGCTGGCCGAGTGCCAAGCAATGTTTCTCCTTCCAAACGAACACATAACTCTGCTGAACACACCACCCGAAAGCCAAAAGGATGCCCCTAGGTTGCCACGGCAACGCTAAACAGACAAAACAGTTAACCAGCTCTGACGCACACACAAACTTATTAAAGGCCAAAAGGACTGATTTGGAGCAGGGAAGGGGCAGGAGAGGGGAGTGTTGTTTCTGCAGTTCCATCTCCAAGAATTTGGCGCCCAAAGAATCTAGGTCAGATTGAAACAGGGCAAAGGACTCAAACATAAGCTGAGACCAAGCTTGTTGGGGAAAGGGAAGTCACTGCACGCCTCTGCCCTTCGGTCAGGGTCACAGTCCTATTTCACAAGGGCTGGGAGGTGGGTGCTCGAGAGTTACAGATGCCAATGATCCCAGCTCTGCCTCTGCCCGGGGTAGCGGAGGGGACAGCGCTCCGCTACCCGGCATTCCGATCTTCTCACCCCAAAGTGGGGAGTGCCATGCCGGCCACAGCAGAGTTGGGAGGATCCAGTGGGTAAACCTGAAAGCACTGTGTGGAGGCACATTTGAGCTGATGTTAAAAATATTAACCACCATTTCCCACCAGGTAGGGGTTTCCTTTTCCAGATCCCCTGGTTCAACTCCTACCCACAGGAGTCGATGATGGTTCTTTTCCTTTTGGAGACTTTGCTCCCGGGTCCAACGGGGATTGCTCTGCGAGCTGTGGCAATTTGGGGAGCAGGGATGAACGCAGGCTTGTGCTGGGTCTGAAAAGACCACCATGCCTGTGGGGTCTGTTGTACTCTGGGCTCGTCCATGCCTCAGCCCTCACCTTGGATGCAACATGACAAAGGGTTGATGTTGCTGGGAGGCAGGGAGAATGTCACCAGACACAGCTCACAGCACTCGGGGAGGATCGTTAAAAAGATATTGCAAAACCTTCTTCAGCAGGGTCTGTGACACCCTCAGGGAAATTGATTCTCCAGAAATGGGAATGCTTGTCCACCCATCACCCCGCTGTGGCAAACCCTCTTGCCTTTGAGACTCGCCCCTTAGAAGTTATGCTAAAACCTCCCCAGAGCCTGCAGTAGAATGGGCCCCAGTGCCCCGCATAGGAGCCTGTGGGAACAGCTGCACTGTCCCGTTGTTCTCATTGTCCTCTGGTCTCCTGCCTACTCATCACTGAGTTCCCTGAGGGCAGGAATCACATGTTGTTCACCAAGGGTATTCCCTTGGCCTAGCCCAGTGCCTGGCATTCGTTGGCACTCTGTAAATGTTTGTCAATTGACTGGCTAAAAGCATGCAATGTCATGCCCAGGGTTGTGCACTGAGACCCCTGGAATCTAGTCCACATGCCACAACTATCTGCTTTTACGTCCCCATGGTCTGGATACAGAGCAGGACTCGAAGCAGAGCCTGGAGTGCAGGAGTCAGACCAGGGAACAGAGCCTGGGCTCTGGTGCGTCAGGAGGAGGAGGGTAAGTGAGAGGGTTGGAGCCAGAGGCGAAGGCTTGTGCCTCCCACCACAAAATCAAAGCCCCCATTCCTCCCCACCGGTAAGCTGATGAAGTGAATTTCCCCTTTTGTAACTGGAATAACACCCATTTTTCCTGCTCTGGGATGAAATTGCTTTTCTTTGGCTCCATTATTAAAGGGCCCTGAAGATGCTCTGTTTTCTTAGAGAGTGAGCACATTAACTCCATGCTGGTTATTTTTAAGGGACTGACAGTTACCCTCCCAACAGGTACACTCCCCACCTTCTTAACTCATTGTGCGTCATCTTCCCTTTATCGGCACGATGCTCTCCACATACCTTTTCCTCTGGACTCCTCCAACCAAGCAACATTCAGCAAACAACACGTCTCTATCATTAGCCACCCTAAACAAGGCCTAAGTTAACCTAGGAATCTAGAAACGGTGGCCCATCCACTATGCTATATTCTCAAATTGTGCTTCCCAAGAATAGAAATGCTCCACTCCATATGCGCTCTCTCTCTCTCTCTCTCTCTCTCTCTCTCTCTCTCTCTCTCTCACACACACACACACACACACACATACACACACGTGTCCTATTAGCCAGAACAACACCAGGCTTGTCTATAAGAACTTCCCGTGTGCCCCAGGCCAGTTCTGCCTTATGAATTTGTCACTGTTTTGTAATATAGGGGAAAGGACAATGGCCCTGTTGTCCTTATCATCATCCTTCTCATTTCCTACAGAGTGGAATGACTGTGGTGGGGGTTCTTACATCTTCCTGGACTTGCATCCTGTAGCTGAACTGTGTTCTCTGCTACATTTGCCACCAGATCACGTCTGCCTCCCTGCCCCTAAGCTGGAACTCATCACCACAGGCAATTATATAATTTTTATATCCTTGCATTCTAAAAAAAAAAGTCCATAAAACAAAACAGTACTTCCACAGCTGAAAGAGTTATGGAGAAACCACAAAATTGCACTGGTACTAGGATAGTTTATAAATAAGATATTAACATATACAACTGAATTTTCACAAAAGAACTTGAGGTGAGAATCTTATTTTATAAGTTTGAAAGTGGACTTTAACAACAGACAACACCTCCAGTAGAAGGTGTGGAAAATACAAATGTTCCCAATAGAATAAAAGGTTCACTACCTTCAAATGTCAGTTCTACATACGCATTAGCCTGAGCTGGGATGCAGGCATTGACATCTATCCCAGGGGGACATACTGCATCTCTTCCATGTGAAGATATAACTGCATGTGTAAAATGCCTGCACTAAAATTAAGTCTTCTATCCTCCAAATTTTCTCAATTATTAATACACTAGACAGCTGCAGTAGCTCTAGCAAAAATAGCAGCCACGCTTTTCCAAAAGTCAAAGCAGCCACACTTTCCTATGTAAGGACTGGTTGCTCTCTGGATCAAACAAAAAGAAACAATCTCCAATGGGACAATAAAACAAAGAAACATGTTTCAGAATGTACACTGAAAAGCGACTTCCCCTCACCACACACACACACACACACACACACACACTCTCTCTCACCTTCTCTATTATGAAAAGTTGTGTACATGAAAAGAAGTTGATTGAACAGGCTATCTGTCCAACTCATTGGGATAACAACAATTCAGAAAATTAGATAGTGCACCCAAGTCATTTTAGTGCATTCTGGAATGAGACTATCAAATTGTGCCTACTCAACTGGAGTGAGGTGAGGTTAGAAAAAAAATTATCCTTTTTTTTTTAGATTTCTAGAAGCAAATTAATGTCGGGGGGTTGGGGGGGGGGGAGGAGTTGTCCTTAAGTTGCTACCTTCATATTAAACAGGCATTAACATTATTAACAGACTCTGATAATATACATCCTTTGTGTAAATATCCATGTTTGAGGGAAAAGCTAAGCACTCAGAGCATCACAATTTAATGTTTTCTCAACTTAACAGTGATCATGGATTTTAATTCAATGGTTACATGCAGAACATGCAACAAGCAAAAAATAGATTTTAAAAGATTCTTTTAATAAAAGCTTTAATATCAGAGCTTAAGCAAGCACATCACAGCAGAGGGAATATCACTTGTCAAGGTTACGTTGAGAATGATCTGCATATAATTCATTTCCCATCACAGTTCTGATTTCACATTGTTCTAACCTTTAAAGAGAATCAGACCACATGCCTTCATTTCTGAGTAGGGAGATACCACCACCTCATCCAGGCCTCAGCTTCATACACAAATAGAAATTGCTGTGGGTCTTTAAGGAAGCAGAACAAGTCAGAACAGTCCAAGTTCTAAACAAGCATATGTTTGCACCAGTTCTGCACAATTTGTTCCTAAGAGCAAGCACCATATTTCGTTGCTGCTGTCTCACCATCTACATAAAAATCACAGCCATTTTGCAGTAAATGCCAACAAATGTCAGAAGAGCAGACCGTGGCTACTTGGAAATGGCTGTTAGTTTATTAATATAATCCCCCAGAGTAAAGCTTATGGCGTGAATGTTTTCAAGATGGTCAATATCATTCAGAGGCAGGGCTAACACGACACCAGCACTCTCTACCCCTGTACCACTTACCATTTGCGATCTGTTCTTCGGACAGCCATTGATGTCTTCAATCTTCTCATTTGCTGAAAAAGGAAACACAAGTCAGAAAAATAAATCACCACCACAGACACTTGAAAACGTGATGTTCAGGACCCTTGAGGCCAACCAAGTCCTAAGGCCTACACTGGGTTTGTCCAATCAGCACAGGCATGTGAAATACTGAGAGGCATCTAGCAAGCTTTAGGACTTACTCATCGAGCCGCCGTCCTCCAGGGACAGCTGGGCCAAGGTCATCATCTAAAGCAGAGACAACTGCATTGACGACAGTTTTGGAGCAACGGGGCGTCGTGGAAATTAAGACTGGGACCATGCTTTAGGCTTTCAGACAGGCAAGAGCAACTTCCCCACAAAAGACGGGCTGGTTCAGAGTGGATCAGTCTAGCTACGACTCAGCTCCAGGGCACAAAAGCTATAGATGATATCATGTCACCCCATCTTTAGGCAGAAATACGAACATTGCTTTATACTAACAGGATTACTAATAATCCTATTCCCAACTGGTGGCAATCAGGGAAAATGAGAGAGTGAGACTTAAAAACAGCTCATCCAAGGTGCCATGGTAAGTCCAAACTAGATCTGGGATACTCTTGAAGTCATAGTAGCTTTTACCTAGTAAGAGAAGTGAAAGCAAGTGGGTGCACTGAATTAACTGGAAATCAAATACCAATAACAGGGAAGAATGGGCCAGTCTCCCATGGTGAAGTGTGGAGGACGCCCTGCAGAATGAGCCCAGGATATCTCTGAGGGTGGAGTTTGTGATTGTAGCTGCCCCAAAACAACAGTACATGTGGAGGTCAGGACACTGGCTCTTGGGGAAGATACTCCAGTCTGAATTCCACCTCTACAGATCCTCAGCTGTGTGACCTTGGCCATGTCACTCTACCTCTCTGGGCTAAAGTTTCCACATCTATGAGATAGAGCTCATGCTACCTATGTCACAGGAGGAGCTATGAGAAATAGATTACATAATGCCAGTGAAATGCTTAGCACAGTGCCTAGCACACAGTGTGTTCTATAAAGGTGGGCTTATGACCCACCTGGGGAGATCTTCAAGGACCCAATGAGTTTTCTCAAGAGAACACTGGATTAGACATTTTAGAAAGTCTCTTCCACCACTGCTTCTCCTACTCTCAAAAGAGGTGTCACAGAGCATTTAAAGGCACATAAGCCCTGGTCAGTGTGGTTCAATTGATTGAAGCATCATCCTGTCCACTAAAAGGTTGTGGGTTCGATCCCTGGTGGGAGCATGTGCATTCTCTCTCTCTCTCTCTCTCTCTCTCTCTCTCTCTCTCTCTCTCTCTCTCTCTCCCTCCCTCCCTCCCTCCCTCTCTCCCTCCCTCCCTCTTTTTCTTCCTCTGTCTAAAATCAGTTAAAAATAAAAAGCATGTAAAAGATGCACAATGAATAGGATTTAAATGAATGGATATTGGTTCTTAAGTTCACCAGGAAACACAGCCAGAATATAACATTCCTACGTAAACTCCACAAGAACAAGGACTTCCATCTCCTTTGTTTCCTACTGTAACCCCAGAGCTCTGGGCAGTGAGACACACAGTGACCACTCAGTAAATATTTGTTGAGTGGCACTAAGGAATGAATACTCTGACCATTTCAAACAATCAAAAGTGATACTGCCTGTTTTGTCCTCTCACTTGTAAATATAGATGTGCATATTGAAAATTAAAAAAAAAAAATGATCCTTGACGAATGTCACTCCTGCATCCATGAGAAACAATGGCAGCCCTGCACTGTGACTGTAGATTTTGATATACCACACTCGAGAATAAATTGTAGCTTTGGGGCATCAATGACACTCAAGATATCTTCCAACTGGATACTCATGACGGCCAAAGTCATTGGATTCTGCCCAGATCAGCATTAGGTCATTAGTGTCCATTAAAGCGAAGGATGGATAACTGAGATCTAAGAAATCATTTTAAAGATTATTTATGTATCTTCCAGATAAATGAAACCAAAAGCTTGATCTAATTACTTCTCTGATTCCTTTTCATGGTCTGTCCCCTAAACCATAGTCAAGTACTCCTTGAATTCAAATGATCACGTCTTATGAGCCTAATTCTGCTATTTACAACATTAAAATAAAACCGTGGGATGAAGCCTATTCCTGACCACGTTAAGGGGTGCATGGGAAGAGATCAAACGACTAAGCCCAAACTCAAAATAAACACTGAATAAAAATGCAAAGCGAGTCTTGGACATCCTGGCTTCCAATTTCATGTAATTTAAAGACTTCTCCTTTAAATTCTCAAGTGTGTCCAAGGTTGTCATAAATACTTAGAGTGATAATAGCAGTTCTGATTCTGCTAGTAAAAAGGAAGAAGAACTTGGTCTTCAGAGCCAAATTTATTAAATCTTGTAGGGGGTCTTTGGCTATAGCCCCAAAGCAGATAACCAGATGCAAAGGCATTGGTCCCCAAAGTCCTCAACTGTGATTACAACCAGCATTCAATGGTAATTTTTTCATCCCAGCATGCTCAATACATTCTTAGCCCATTAATGTAGTAACTTATCAACACTTTAGTAACTGGAAAGCATTAGTGTACTTTTTAAATAAGAAAAGTGGCATCAAACTCATTACTTTTCCAAAGATCTCCTCTGATAAGTTCAGAGCAATTCACCAGCCCATGCATCCATTCATGGTCCTATGTATGTGGGAAAAGAGAGAAACTGGCTGCCCAGAAAGGCAGGTGACTTACCCAAGATCACTCAATGCTAGTAGGTCATCAAGAGAAAGAAGGTACACTCCTGCGTGTTCGAATTTCCTGGTTGTGCTCAGAGGCAGCCCAGATGGTGATAGAAAATAAGCTATCAGCTCTCTTCACCTCTAACAGGAAAGCTGTTCCTCTAGGTCTGGGCTTCCTCCTTCTCTCCAAGCCTCTCGGTTCATCCTGTTTCCCTCCTTCTCTCTCACCTCTTTCTTGTTGTTCTCCTGCCTCCGCCCCTTTCCTGAATCCAGCCCCTTCTGGTATCCTCCCTGAGTGACAGAAATGTAAGCAGGAAAGGGGAGCTGTCTCTCCCTCTTGATTCGTGCTAGTTATCCTGGCCTCGTAAACCTTTCTACTAACTCATGGAGATGGCACCGCGATGGCAACTGCTGGCTTTGGGCAGCTCATGACTCAAGAGGGTAATCACACTAATAAGAGGTTGAACTCAGAGAGACCCAGCCCTCGGTCACTAAAGGAAGGATGCAAAGAGGCAGCAAAGGTCCATTTCTGCCCCAGGGGCGGATGGCAATGATGGAAAAATGGAGACCCAAATAAGCCCCCTATCTAGGAAGCCCACCTCCAGGTGGAATAGATGAAGACTTAGATAGGAGCAGTGTCCGTGAAAAGCATTTAGCTTTTCCTTCAAGTCATTCCCCAACCTGAAAATCAGCTCTTTCAACCATTGGCTCTTGTACTGAAGCTAAAGCTCAGAACTCACTGCCTGGTACTGGGTAGCCCTGCCTGACTTTGCCTTGTTGACCCTCTGACTCTATGCTCCAGCTGTTTTACACATAGTTTCCTCCACCAGGAATGCCCTTCCTGACTGCTTCACCTAGTAGCTCCACCCTAACTGACTCCAAGTTTAGCTTATAGGAAATTCTTTATAGGTAAATTCCCTGGTTCCCCGCCCCCCTCTCCCCACACACACACTCAAAATCATGGGTCAGGCCTCATAGCACCACAAGTCCTTAATCATTATGCACAATACTCCTCCAGGGTCTAGCGAGAGGCTGTCCCTTAAAGGGACAATCTCCCTTCCTGCAAGTATTGATGGGCCTTTATTGAGATACTTTCTTTTTAACTTTTTATTTTGAAATAACTTCAAACTTGCAGAAAAGTGACAGGAATAGTACAGAGAACTCCTTCATCCCTTCTCATTTTCTCTCCACCACCCCCGCCTCCCAAATTCCTTTTTCTGTATAGGGCACACTCTTTTGCTGAATTATTTTTCTGTAGGCTACATATATCGTGTCCTTTGCCCCTTATACCTAGCATGTATTTTCAAAGGACAAGAATATTATCTAACAGCGGAGTTAGAAAATTCAGAAAATTTAGCATTGATATAATTCCAATGTTCCAATTCTGTCAATTGACATTAAAAAAAAAATGTCCTTTATAGCATTTTATTCCAGGCCAGGACCACAAAGTACATTCAGCTGTCATGTCTCATTAGTCTTGAACGATCTCTCAGCTTCCTTTGTCTTTCACAGCACTGACGTTCTGGAACAATACAGGCCAGCTTTGTTTTTAATAGAATGTTCCACAATTTGGGTTTGCCTGAGATTCCTCAGGATTAGTTTCAGGTTTTCCACCCCTGACTGGATTCAGCATCAGTGCTATGTTCTCTTGGTTATGACACAAGGAGCACATTGACATCCATCTGTCCCTTACCAGTAATGTCATCTTGACCCCTGGTCATGATGTCTGGATTCTCCCCTGTGTGGTTACTATATTTCCCTGGGAACTAATAAGCAATTAGTGAGAGACACTGAGACCATGCAAATAGTCTGCTCCTCATCAAACTTCCTTCTCTCGATTTCTGTAACCATTGGTAATTCTCGCCTTAACTAATCTTTACCGAAAGGTTGTGCTTCCCTCCACATTTATCGGTCAGCATTCTCCTGGACAGTGGGGCCCTCTCTGCTCCATTGATGTATCTATCTATCTGTCATATAGACTTACAGAGTTCCATTTTGTTCCACAGTTATAATCCATGACCATCCTCAACTATTTTGATGCTCTCATTGTCCCTGATTAGATTGTTTTTTTGTCGCCCTGGAGGAAAGAACTAGTTACTTGTATAGAGATACCACCAAGGGGGTAGATTTCCACCTAATGAAAGAGCTTTTGAAGGATTCCAATTCTCCATGTTAGATCTAGTTTCCTGAGCAGGTAGTAAACTGCCCATCATATTATTTAACAGAGTCTATTAACTGCATACATGCATCAGGTTGGGGCTTTTAAAGGTCCCTTCCTAAACTTAGAGCTAAGAGTTGCAGCAGAGTCCTAGAAAGGAAGAGGGTATGACATACAGTTTAGAAGAATGTTCAGAAGAATACCGAATGTTGAGAAGGGGAAACCTCCTGGCCACCTGTTGGAAAAAATTCGACCCAGACTTGCAGAAGCAGGGGCTGCAGTGCATAAAATTCTCATCCTTAATCCTTGCTAAATTCTGTGAACCCAGAAAAGAAGATGACGCAGACCCAGGGCCAGGACAGCAGCCGGTGGAATGATAGAGGTCCCTCCAGCCTCTCCTGCAGGGCTGCTGGCCTGAGGGGCAGCCTGGTCACGGGCACTCACTTGAGCCTCTGACGCCTACTTCAGTAGCTCCAGGCCCAGAGGAGTAACAGTCTAGCAATGCTGATGTCGTCTGAGTAGATTCAGGGAAACAACCTCCTGAGTAACAGGAAGAACCATGCTGGCTTACATTTCTGTAGCACTATGTTTACTGAATTCACAACATACATACTACCATTCACCACTTCTGGGCCCCCGACAGACATCACTAATCTATCATGACACACTGACACTGCTACCAAAGCCTCATCATCCTTCTCCACAAACCTTTCTAGGCAGCACCTACCAGGTGCTATCCAGGAACACTTCTCAGTTTTTAAACATATTTCATATTTGATACCTACCTTGCATTTCATAAAACTGCCACAAAAGCAGACAAAGCAGGCATGGCTGTGCCCATTGTGAAGAAGGGGAAACAGAGATAGCAGAAGTTAAGCGACTCTTCGGAGGTCCCACAGTGGGGAGGGATGGAGCCAGGATGAGGGCAAGGCCTCTGGGCACGGTCCTCTCCCACTTTCTGTCTTTCTGTCTGGGCTGAAAGCAGAGAGGACTCCTGGTAGAAACACTCTGCATGGCCCAAGACTCAGTCAGAGTTGGTCCATTACATGATGTGACCCTGCTGAGATGGGGAACCAAACCCAGTTCAGGTGCAAGTCATCTCTTACAGGCAGGCCTTTCCAAGGAGATACTACTCCTTGCAAGGTTACAAGCCTTGCACACATGCCTCCAGTCCCAGGAAGGAGCAGAATGCTGGCCACAGTCAGTGCTCCATGACTACCTACTGAACTGAAGGGAAGAGAGGAAGAACCTTGTACTGGGTTCAGTGTCTCTGAATTAACAGGGGGGTATAATGCCGCCAAGCACAGAACAGAAGTTTTTGAAGCAGACTCATCCAGCTTAGATTTCCCTTGCCCACTAGTGATGTGATATTGGGCTACTGGTTCATGGACCTCAGTTTCTGCATTTGTAAAATGGGAAGAATACTGCCTACTTCATAGAGATGTAGAGGAAATTAAATGAGAGAAACATTCAAAAGAGCTTGGTAGGAGTGATGATAAAGAGGAGGAGGAAGAGGATGAAAAGAAGAAAGGAGTGTGGCAGATCCAAGAATCCTCTCACCTAAGTTTAAACCCTTGTACAATATTCTCCTGTTGAGTGTGGTGGGACCAAGGGTTTATTTATTTTTTTATTATTTTTTTAAATATACTTTATTGATTTTCCACAGAGAGGAAGGGAGAGGGATAGAGAGCTAGAAACATCGATGAGAGAGAAACATCAATCAGCCACCTCCTGCGCACCCCCCACTGGGGACATGCCCGCAACCAAGGCACATGCCCCTGACCGGAATCGAACCCGGGACCCTTCAGTTTGCAGGCCGACGCTCTATCCACTGAGCCAAACCGGTTACGGCTCAAGGGTTTATTTTTAACCAACAGGATATGGCAAAGGTGATAGGATGGTACATTATATAAGGTTCTTTCTCCCAACAAAAACCTTTTTTCTCTTGCTGATACTGAAGACGTTGACCAAAGTGGCCATGTTGGAAGACCCATATGGCCAGAAGCTGAGAGGGGCTTCTAGGACCTGAGAGGGGCCTCTAGTGAACAACCAGCAAGAAGTCAGACTCACCTCCTATACCTGCAAGGAGATAAATTCCACCAACTCTCTGAGTGACCTGGACCCCTCCCTGTTCAAGCCTCCAGATGAGAACGCAACCCTGGCCGACACCTGGTCTACAACCTTGCACAGGCGCCCCACTAAGTCACGCCTGCACCCCCAGTACACAGACACTGCGAGATCATAGATATTTATTGTGTCAAGCTGCTAAATTTGTGGCAATTTGTTTACAGTAACAGAAACTAATCCAGGGAGGAGAGGAGAAAGGAGAGATGGAAAAGGAGGACCAAAGGAAGCTAGTCTGAAGAACCCCATCTCAGGACAGCAGGGAAGCTTCTTTCACCTTGAGTGGCAGCCACAGTCCACAAGTTTTAGCTAAGGGCTGACATGCCTGTGTTTTCAGGCACAGCCCCCACAGATGTGAGCAGAGTTACAACTAAACAAGGCTACTTCTCACACTTGAAGGGTAAGCAACTTTCCCAATAATACAACATCCAAGGGGTTGTCCTTTCTCTGTGCCTTCTCTCTTGGCATGAGTTGGCCGTTGCCAGCAACAACACTCAGCCTAATGCCATATATCTGACCCCCTGCCTCCTCGGTCTGCTGAGCTCCTGGGCAGGACCCCTGGGCACATCCCTTAAAGCCCAAGGCAAAGCTGCCCTCCTGGACCAACCCTCTCCTCCCAGCACATGGCCATGGCATTAACAACCCCACCACCCAGTTCCCTTCCCCTAGTGCTAAAACCAGAACCAGCCCTCTCCAGAGTCTGATCCTTTGACTTCTCAAGCCCAATTAGAGTTGGCAGGATGAAACCAACCTCATGTTGCTTTTTAAAATCTTTTTATTTTTTGGAAATATTTCCAGAGGAATCCCACACAAAAGGTACCAACAGAGAAGGGGCAAGAATGAGAGAATGTGAGAGCCAGAAAGACAGTAGGAGGTCCGAAGCGGGGCAAAGAGCCCCTCCCAAACCACCAGCATCTTCTAGCCTTGGCCAGAGTAAGTCTTTCTTTTCAGAGGATCAAGATGAGATTGCTATGTGGGTGATCTTATCAGGAAAAGGGAGCTGGTACCCACACTCCCTGAGCACCAGCCAAATAAATTCTCAACATATGGGACAGAAATATCGTATTTCTCTTAGAGATTACAGTGTTCCATTCCCCTTGTTCTACTCGACCCTGCTCCACAGTGACTCATCCATCCCCAGCGTAAAATCTGCTCTTACCCACAACCTGGATGATCTGAGCCAGGAGGACACCGTCCGTCACATCTTGCTGGAGATCCTTGATGAGACGTTTGTGGCCTGATTTGGCTAGATAGTGATTGGCCCAGTCCGTGTAGATCTGCAAAAGAGCAAAGAAGCAACTTTAGGAAGCCAGTCGGACCCCATCTGGTCTGAGGCAGCTGTTTGGGCCTGTGTAGCAGCCCCCGTCCCGCGGGCGAGCTGTCTAGGGCCAGCCAGTGCCATTAACATTCAGGGCATTGTGCCGAGGGGGCATTCAGCAGCCATAGCTGGGCTTTCGCCTATTGAGAGATCTGCCGTCAAGGCTCAGGGAAAAGCTAAAGAAAGCTTCAAAACACGCAGAGGCCTGAATGGGCCAGGGGACACGGAACTAAACAGTCTGCGCCAGATGCTTTGAGAGGCTGAGGCTCTAAATGCAAGAGAGGCCTCCCCCACCCCACCGCCGCCACCCCGCCCCGTCCAATCTTTTTCTCTTTATTGAGAAAACGTATGGGGAGGTTACCACCCAATAGGCATCTTTTAATGGGCCATTTCTGGGTATGAAGGGCTATTGAGTTAACCGAGTTCTCAGGAGCCTGGGTCCCTTGTAAAAAAAAAAAAAAAAAAAAAAAAAAGCCAAGTACGAAAACACAGAGCCCCTCAATTACTCTTGTGTGAGTGGAGTTATTGATGGCTTCGCAGTAATCTCAAATTTAATCGGTGTAATTGAAAAGCCAGGCATCATGTTCACTGTTGGGATTCTGTGAACAAAACCCAGCAAATTCCAGCATATCTGAATGCAGCATTGGTGTACACCGCACTCCGAAAGGCAGAGGCTGGGTCGCCCATGAGATCAGGAGCGCAGACCCCTTTGCAGCCATACACAGACCTGCTCCTCTCGGTCACACAATCAGCACAAAACTATGTTTTCTTCCAAACAGGCCAACAAGCATGGAAAAGCTCTCATTGAAAACTTTCCTAACTGACATAAGCCAAATGAAAACACAATTTAAAACCTCCTCACCAATTTTGAGTGCTAAGCTCGATGCATGGATTTCTGAGCTAATGGAGGGACATGTAGACCCCATTTGTCAGCACTTTTTCTCCCCCAGAGTGGTACAAGCAAATGACTACTCAAAAAAGATAACTATCCTACCTCAACTGGGCATTTATTAGCACCAACAGTTCACAGACTAATCCATATGGTGTCTGCATCCAAATGATAAAGGTTATCATGGTATCTTCAGCAGTCGGCCTGTAGACCTCCTGTGACTAAAGAGCAGCGGGAGCCCTGCCCTCACCGGGACTCTCGCCCTCCATCCTATTCTTCAGAACATCCTGCCCAGAGTACTCTCACACAATGGGGCCCTCCTTGCCTCTCAGGGCCCTGGGATAGGGTCTGTCGGTCAGGGCCTGATCTTGCAAAGCAGAGAGGGGGCACCTCTGACTACTCCACCTGGGACTGTGAGGGTATCATCCCCAAAAGGGAAAGGCAGGACTGCATTTGCTATCTCCTCAAGACCTGAGAACTGATTAGCCCTGCCCACCCCACCCCTACCGGGAAGCCCAGTCTTCCAGTGCAGAGACCCACAAGTGCACTGCGCACTGCAGCGTGGTGCTATTTCACACCTGGGACCGCCCTTAAATCCTCCTCACTTTCCTTCCCTGTGACTTCCAAGTTGTCAGAGATTAAAAATCTAATAGAGCTAAAGATCATTTTCAACTTTGTAAGCATTGAGAAAACTAAGGAAATGGTGTGCCATCTTGATCATCACAGTGGCCAATCTGAAAAGTCAAGGATCATTAAATGAAATTGTTAACAGGGTGGGAGGGAGGGAGATAAACATTGAAAGGCAAAGGGCCAGATCTGTGTCCAAGTCATGTAAGTAGCTGGTACACCAGGGAGAACTTTTAATGTTACACAGCAGTCAGAAATGGCTCTGCCAAAGAAATGAATCTCTCTACATCAGGCTGTTTAAAACAAGAGCTCTTCTTCTCTGAGCTTTAATCCACCAACACACCGCTGCCAACTTAATCTCCCAGAGCACAGCTCTCATCTGATCGCCTGCTCAAAAGATCATCAATGACTCCCCACTTCCCATTGAATTAAAGTTCTCAGCGATCACACTGAGATTCAAGGACGTCCTATTATCCCCTGCTCTTCCCCAGACCATGTCTGATCCTTTTGCAGAGGAGGCAGTGCGTGTGGAAGTTAAGCGCATGGGTTTTAGAATCGACCAAGTCAAGTAGGCCCCTGGCTCTGGGCAAATGAATTTCTATTAGCTTTGCTCAGACCTCAGTTTTATCCTCCATACAATGGAGATTATGCCAAATATGTTAGAAACAGGGAGTGGCACATTGGGAGCCGGCCAAACCCACCTGACATGTGTTTATAAACAAAGTTCTACTGGTACGGTCACACCGTTGCTGTCCATGGCTGCTTTCACTCTACAATGCAGAGTTGAGTAGTGGTGACAGAGACCTTTCGGCCCACAAAGCCTCAAATATTTACTACCCAGCTTTTTACAGAAAAAAATAAAATTGCCACTCACTCTGTGTTACAGCGACTGAAGGAGATATGTCTACACATACCAAGTGCTCAGTGGTAATGATTATGCTGACCCTTAGGAAAATGACAAACCTCACACTTCCCAGTCTCCAAACGCATGCCGGCCCTCCCACCTGAGTGCCTCCACCTAGGGCCACCCTTCGAGGCCCAACCCAATGCCAGTCCCCAGCCTCCCTCCCATGAAGCCCCTTGTGAGTCCCTGATTGCATTCCGAGCTGCATATGATGCAGAGTGTAGAGAACTTGAACACTGGAACCACTTTCGCACCCTCACCATCATATTTCGGCAGAGACTGTGTCTTGCCCATCGTTGCTGCCTCACAGGGAGGGGGCACACAGCAGCAGGTCGGTGAGTGATTGCCCCGTTGAGCTGAACAGAAAGAAAAAAGGGCGAATCCTTGGGAAACTGATTACATTTGAGACTTAAATAATGTTTTCTCGCAGTGAATCCTCCTCAAACCATGATCTCAAGTTTCTTTATCGATTGAAAAGAGCAAGGAAGAGAGAAAATAAATCACTCTATAGCTCAGGTTCATCAATCAGGATCCATCCAACAAGAATCATTAATTATCTGGAGTTTCCCCTCCCCTCCCTCGTCTCCAGCTCTCAACTTTTTGCATAAGTGAGTCACAAGAAAACACCCAGGTTTATTTTAAAAACCAGTTTCACAGGCCATGCTAAGAAGCCCTGACATGAGTCAGCCCCATCTACGTCACTTGCTGTCTCAGTAGTTCATGCAGTGAATACCATTCTCCCAAGGGGCACCCTTGGAAAATAAACCCACAATATCCCCAGGCATCAAAACAGACTCCCTCAGGGGATTGCACAACTCAGCAAAACTGGAGCTGGGTACGCGTGAAAGATTTTAGGCAGCGACTAAGCTAAAGCATGCAGGCTTCCTGTCTAAGCCTCAGACACTCAGAATCCGCTTCTCCAGAGCTGTCTCTTTCCCAAAGTTCTGGAGCCTTGAGGGCTGCTATTACTTTAACCCTGAGTCCACTGATCCATGATCTATGAACGTTCAGAAGAAATGAACAGCAAAAAGAACCACACAAGAAGAAAGAACAAAACCACCGTCCCCACCCCCAGCTCCAAAGAAACGAGTCTAGAGAAAAGCTCTAGAATCATTTCACCCTAGCATCTGAGGTGTCTTTCCCATTGCTTCCCCACTCTGATCCCTCCACCTCCCTGAGCTTAGCTCTCTCTCCACCCCCAGGCTGCTGTCAAAGGCTCAAAGAAATAAAAGGGGGAAGGTGATGGCAGCTGAAGAGTGACTTTGTTTTGATTCACTTATTACCCCTGACAGAATTTCAAGGAGCATGCCAGTCATTTGTTTGCTTATAATGCCACATCCTTCCATATCACGCAGGCTGAAATCAAAGAGGGAACATTTTGACAGATCGACTGAAGTAAAGAACCTGATTATTAGCTGTAATAAGAAAACATAATAATCACACTGTGTTAAACCAATGAGGATAATAAGTTTATACTGCAATTAGCCTTCAAGTGAAGTGTGTGTGTGGGGGGGTGGGCGAGGGAAGGGGTGACATTCTAAGTAAGGAACCCAAGAAAAATGCCACAAAACAAATGCACCTATGGACTCAACTATAAATCCAGACCCATATGCCGGACAGCCTGATGGGGCTGGAAGGCAGTGGTAGCATTAGGATAGTGGCTCCGGGAGAAGGGTGAAATGTATCTCTTGGAAGGAAATGCCAGTGTGAAGAGAAAGTGAGCCAGTCATTTAGCATCAGAGGTGCTTTCCGGTCGAGCAGTTGTAAAGGGAACACTACTGTTTGGCCTCCATTCAAGAGGTCTCGCTCTAACTATGGCCATCATCAACATACTATTTCCATGACTGAGCAGTATGTGATTAAATGGTTTAGATCTGCTTGTTCTGAAGTACAAAAATAATACTGCAACAATAGCATAGACTGTTTACCCAGAACCTGAATACCACTAAGAGTGATTATCTAATTATTCACAATTTTATGAAAATCAAAATGAGCCATTTGTTATCAAGGGTAAAGCTGGTAACACGTTCACGTCTGCATCCCCAGCATCTAGCAAGGAGTATGCTACCTACCCCACAGGTGCAGCCACATAACCTTTAAACTGCATGGGGTGGTGGGTGGGGCCTGAAATCAGCTGGTGGCTTTTCCCTTGCTCCCTGGTCTCTCAGAAGAGTCCCATTCTGCCCGATGTCCTTGGTGCCACCACATGCCCACCCGGAGGGCAATGACTCTCCCTCCATCCCACCTTTGCCATCTTCCGATGCATGACTTCAGTCATTTGTGCTTTTTCATAAATTCCAGTAATCATAAGGGCAGAATGCCCTTGGGAGCTGGTGTGGACAAGGACTGAGATCTGGCTCTGCCTCTTACCAGCTGGGGGTTGGGGTTGCTCACTTGTGTGACAGTGATGAACAGAGTTGTTTTATGGATTAAATGAGAGCATATGTGTCTGGCACACAGGGTTAAATAAATGGTGCTTATTCATATGCCAATTAATAAACTCTAGGCTATCTAAATTCTGGGGAATAAGTTATTCTAG